TGTTTTCTTCATAATGTTTCCATCAATCTTATACTCCATCCAGGTAAGTCTAGTATGAGTACATCCAAATTGGGCTTGGTTCATTGATATTAGCAACATCAGTAAAGCAAAATTTCTAATTTATCTACATGGTTCTTTGGTGGTACAACTGTAGCACCCTTCAAACCTGCTTGTATGACCATTTTCTAGCCCATTTTTCAACAAGCTCACTATTGAATCAGAATAATCATTCGTTTGAGGCTGCTGACTACTACCTCACTCATGAAAATAGATAAAGGGAGAAGCATATTAGGTGAAACGAGGGAATGAACAAGAGGATTTCCCAGGAGGACAAAGAGGCTTTCAAGTTAAAAGAGAGAGAGTGCGGGAAAGAGAGACACTTTGGAAAAGCTCTTTTATACATGAGAGAGAGAGAGGGAAGAAAGGAGGGATGAAGGAGACCTCTTAGGCAAAAAAGATCAAGATTAGGAATAATCGGGAGGGAACAATACCTAGGGTCAACAATACTATTGAGAAGTTTCCAAGGAAAGATCACACAATGTAGATGCCTAGCATTCAAGGACAGTGATGCCCTGGTGATACGTCAGATATATTGCACACTTTCCCTGTTCACAATTAGAATTCAACCAAGGCCAAAAGTCTAATTTTGAATTCCCACAAAGGGCCCCTACCCCAAATGTTGGATAAGATCTATGAAAGTTTATACCCTTGGTTCTTTCTCTTCCAAGTCTTCCACTTAATATCTTGTTATTCAATGAGTACCATGAACTTAGCTAATCAACATAGGGAAATAACAAGAGAACAAAAACAACAATAATTCTACATAAAAAGGAGTTAGAAAATGACAATAATTGTGGGGTTAAGGCTTTGTTTTTGCTACAAAAGAATCCAAGCATTCCACATGACTTGAAAAGTAACAAGTCAATCATCCACTTCCGCATTGCAGGCTCAACAGAAAGATAACAAAGTAAGCAGGATGCTAATTGATCATTCACAATTACAAATAGTAGGCACGCAGGCAGGCAGAGAGAGAGATTGAGAGAGAGAAGAGAGGATACACTACGACAATAGTAAAATTGAGAAGAGACGGAGGGGGAGGAAGAGAGGGTGGGATGTAGTGCAATACCATTTTAGTTGTGAAGAGTGTGAAGTGATGAACAGAGAGGGGCCAAAAGAGGTCCCTCATTCACTAATTGAAAGTGTCGGAGTCAGGTTGACATGTTAAAACTGGTGGCACAGAAAAATGGGTGATGTAGAAATGAAAGATGAAAGGGATAATAAGCCAGTACACAATAGAACCAATCAAAGCATAAAATCACGGCCCGGGGATGAGACTCAACCCATGGGTGAGCCGAGTAACTCAGGACGAGTCTGAGTTATTCGCTCGAGTTGGGTAAGAGTCGGAGAAAGCCAAAAAGTGTTAAAAATAAAAATAAAAATAAAAACAATACAAACAAATTTCCAAGAATAAGAAAAAAATTAGAAATAAAATTAAACATAAGTCATCTAAATGAGGTTTAAAAAAGTAGTGAAAAAATAAATTTTGAAATACTCAATTTGTGACGGGGGTACTTTAGAAATTCCAAAAAGAAGGGAAAAATGTATATTCATGGCCAAACCACTTTCGAACATTTTTCAAAATGATAAAAAACATACAAAAGAAATATTACAAATAAATTTCATATCTTTTAAATTTTTTATAATTTTTTGGAATTTTGTCTTTTCAAGATCCCCTAGTCCGACTATGCAACTCAAGGATACTCAGACTCGCCAAGATGGCAAGTCCGAGTTACTCCGGCAAGTCCGACTTGGCTCACCTGAGTTTTTCCACATTGGAACGAATAGTACTTCACTATGACTAAGGTGCACAATAGCTAATGTTTTGTAAATTGTCAGGAGAACATAAAGAGGAGATAGTTCAGGTGGCAATAGCAGTCCTCAAACACATAAACAAGTTTTAGCATATTGTAATATTCTCCTTACAATATCTAGAAATAAACATATATTCCTTCCACAAAGAAGATACATTTTGTTATAAAAAATTTGGATACCAATCACCTGCATCCCCATTGTATATAGGTGGTTGTCTTTACCACGGTCTTGGTTTTGGCTGAGGTGATGACAACAAGCAATACATGATGTGAATTCATATTCTTAATAATGGTTGGCTTCTAGATTCCCAATACCCAGGTTTTTTAGTCCAATCCACCATATGACTTTTACAATGGATGGTAGATCACTCTTTCCCTAACTCCCTTCTCTTGATAGGTTGTGACAATGCATTTTTCAATACCTAAGCCGCTCTTCACCTTAGGAAGTAACCCACTACATCAAAATCCCAACTTCACATCATTGTACGAATTCTTTCAAAAACTCAATTCCCTTCCTGATATCTATCTCCTACTCCACACAATTCACTATTATAAAATCTAACTCCCACTTAATCATATTGTACTAACGATTTCTTGCTAAAAAAATCTTTGTATTGTTTCATTTTTCATCATTTAACTTCTTTTTTTTTATCCCCCAGGCCGTTTTTTAATATATTATATTTGTTCGACCATAATTCTATTAGGAACTTATTCATCATGTACACTCATCTTGCTCTATCGTCAAAGATTATAGTACTAAACATATTACGGTACATATACCTGCTTATTTCTAGTCCAAACACCCATACTATTGTACCACTAGAGGTCTCTCTACATGGAAGATCGGTCACCACAAAAATTGTGTCAAATCGGTGGATCGACGATCCGAATCAGAAAAGCCACCAGTTTTGGTCTATAAATTTTAAAAAATTATTAAAAATATTTGTAAATATTTTTTTTAGTTTTGATAAAATTTGAGAGTTGCATTATATACTTTCATTATTTGCAAAACTACATGAATATTGAGATGATGTTTCCCTATTTGGATGTTTGTATAATTATTAGTTATTATATATTAGTATATTAATATTGTATTAAAATGATTCAAAAATATTAAAAAACACTTCCATTTTATAAGATTAAAAAGATAATATCCCTTATAAAATGAAATTAGTATTACATCAAATATTTATTAATTCTCTTTACTTATCCAAAATTATCACAATCCAACTAACTATAATATTTTACATTGAAAATGGAATTGTTGATTTATAATTCATAATTATTTTACTATACAAATACAAATAAATTTAAATTTATCTTATAATATTATAAGATTTTTTAAATTAGATGATATTAAGATTATAATAAAATCTCATTATCATAGTACATAATTATACTAATTTTTTAAAACTATATTAAGATTTTTTATATTAGATTTGGGACTATTGTTTTATGGTATAACTATAATAAGATGTCACATCATAGACCCACAACCTAGACCCACATCGACGCTTTTTTAAAATATACTAAGATTTTCACATAAAAATTCTAACTATTATATTATCTTATAATATCATCTAACGTATGATATTTGTTTTCATAAGAAGTTTCACAATGATAAAACTTCGATAAAAATGGCATCTCACTGCTCATGGAATGGACTATTAGTCCTACATCGTTGGCTGTTAGAAGTGAACTTGGGTATAAAAAGAGAGAACCCAACTCAGTTAACAAGCCATACATGAGAAATGAGATAGACGTAAGATGTCACATGTATTGGTACGTGGGTGACATGCGACAGGTACGAACTGATCCGACCCATCTATGTTTTGGGGGACCGATCCGACCCAACCCCTTTTTGGAGGTAATGATCCACCTATCGATCCAACCCAACCCTGTTTTGGGGGTAATGATCCACCTAGGGGACCGGTACGGACCGATCCGACCCAACCCCGTTTTGGGGGTAATGATCCACCTAGGGCCAATCCAACCCAACAACCCGTTTTGGGGGACATGGCCAGTTCCCAATATATTGCAGGAATCGGATTGCACCGCGCCCTGAATGATTTTCAATCTGGATTGTGCAACTTCGATCCGAATCACCCTGAATGATTTCCAATTCGGATTATGTGATTTTGATCCGGATCACCTAATTTTAAAAGCTTGGTTAATACTACTAGTGGTCTTTCCATGGCATTAAGCACCCTAATTATCTTATGTTCTTGGTTACTTCCCTTATTATGTCTTGCTTTCCACATCAAGTTTTAATCAGAAACTCTTAATATATCCCTAGTTTTTCTCATTCCTATGTTGACTTCCTCTCTTAGTTCGTCCTAGTTTTTCTCATTCCTAGGTTGGCTACCTCTCTTAGTTCATCCTCAAATCCTATTCATTATGCTCTCAACCCAGTCTCTTATTTCCCCTCTTTTAGTCCCTCCTTGATCTTGATCCAATCTAAAAATTAAACAATCTCTTGTTTGTATATTTTTTGAAAGAACTCAAATAGTTATTGTTTGATGAAAAATCCGAAAAATGTTTTTGAACTTTTTGATTCATAATTAGGAGGAGGATCAAGACTAATTCAAAACTCTATGTTCATAATTTATTAGATGATAGGAAGTTAAGCCAATTTCCATTAATTCAGAAAAAAATAAGTTAGAAGTAGAGATCCATTTTGTCATAATCATCAGATCAATAGATGCAAGGTGGCATAGAGCATGACACACCAAAACTTTAATGAGACCCCAAAATCGGGAACCCGAATCTTAAACAACGCCCACCAGTGGATGGATATATCGACAGTTATAACCAAACATGCCATAGCTTTTCCAAACAAATCTTTAGGTTTTCTTTTGAAGCATTCCCATGTCTGGTAATCTTGTCATATTTTTTAGTCATTATATCTCAAGTTTAATACCACCATATCGATACTTGTTGAACAAGACCAATGACGACTTACTTGTAGATACCTAGAAATATTGAACATAATAGATATGCAATTCCTTAATCCACAAACTCTTTCAAAACAGTTCAATAAAAAAACACATTCTTCTGATTTTGATAAACAATTAAGCGTACTAAATTAGCAACAAGAATCGAGTGAAATGGGGGAGGAAACGTGCTAACCTATTGCTCTAGACATGGCAAGAACTCCAAGCACTCGAGGCCCATTCCAATAGATTACACGCCCTCCTGAAGCTTCAATCCTTGCTAGTTCATCAGGCCTATCCGGCTAGGGAGGAAAAAAAAAATAAAACGAGAGAGAAATAAATGCAAATAATCGAGCACATAATTAACAACAATGAACACATGCAAACCCATTACCTATCAAACTCGAACAAATGAAAATGATTTCCTTTTGTTTTTCTTAATGTTTAAAGGGAAAGCTTTCTATGTTCCCCTTACAACATAGAAGTTCTATCCTCCCCTTATCCAACCGTCCATTGTTTAATGGAGAGCTAAGTTTGCCCCAATCACAATGTCACATCTCTACACTGTTTTATTTTTTATTTTTGTTCTATACTGTTTTGACACCAAATTTTGGACGTTCATTCCTCTATTAACTCGCACTAACGAAAAATATAAAATAATATTTTCAATAAATAAAATGACCAACATGCCCCTAAAAGTTTCAAGGGTATTTTGGTCATTATTTCTTATTGAAAAATTATTGTTAATATTTTTTATAAGTGGGCCCCAATGAGAAGATGGCACATACCAAATTTCATATTCAGTAAAATGTATTAAAAAAACTAAAAATAAAATACTTTCATACGTCGAATCTAAAAGAAATGTACAGCTGGATGGTAGGGGGAGGATAGAACTTCTATGTTGCATGGGGGAACATAGAAAGCTTTCACATGTCTAACAAACAACCGCTTTTTCTTCCCGTGCTAGCATTAGAACACTGAACATTGTCCTTCAAGTAAAAAGTTATTAATATTATAAGCATATTGGCTGATAACTTGATTTACATCAAAATATTGGATGACCATGAAAAATCCCTATCAAACAAGACAGAAAACCGCCAAAAAAACCAATCTTTGTATGGACATTAAGACTGGAACAAAAATTCTTCAAAAAAAGATAATAATAATTATTGATCATCCATGTCATTGATACTCCCCCCATACCTATAAAAGAAAGAGGGTGACCAAACAAAAACCACGAGCATTTACTATCTCCACCCATGTTTTAAATGTCACAATAGAAAAAAGGGAATGACCAAACCAAACCGTTTTTCTCCTTAGTTAGAGAAGCTGGCCAATTTTTAACAAAAGTTGGCAACTAATCTCGGATGAAGCCTACCAAGCTCAATATCAAACAAAACTAAAAGTCCACTCCAAAATCATTGACATCACAAGGCCAATCCATGTTTTGTAACTAAGTCTAGCAATATAATATCTGCATAAATGATAATCAATTATTTATTGGTCGCACAAGTCTTTAGTACTCTATCCAAACAAATAAAAAATTTGAAGGTGAACCAAAAATTAAAAACCCCCCCCCCCAAACCCAAAAAAAAAAAAAAATATTCTTCTCTCCCCTTAGTACCTAGACCAATGTGGCCAATTATTTGGAAATCAGATCCTATTTTATGCCTTCAAAGCTTATAACAACCCAAGAAAAAGAAACGCCACTGTATTAATTAGTCTCTACAGAAGAAAAATGAGCAAGAGCAATGGGAAATCTGTGTACCTTGTGATCAGTGGTGAGAGGGAAAGGTTTGCCAGCTCGGCACAAGACCGCGCGAGAATCACCGCAATTCGCAACGACAATCCGATCGCAGCACAGAATGGCAACGACCGCTGTCGATCCAACCATCTCCGATGCGAAGGTGAGCGGGGTGTCACCGCAGGAGGCAGCATCGTGGCCGCATATGCTACAGGCATTGAGGACCTCCTCATCCATGCACGAGAAGCTGCGCTGAAGAGGCAGGGCCAACTCTGGGGGACAGGGAGGGATGGACTGAGGAAGGAGAGTGGGAGAGGAGGAATGGAGTTCTTGAGCCAAAAGGAGGTGGAGCCTGTCCTTGCATGACAGAGCTACCTGATAGAACAAACATAAGAGAGACCAAACATAAGAGAGAGAGAGAGATAAAGAGAGAAAGAGAGAGATGGAGAGAGATATAGAGAGAGAGTTGTAAGACGAGCTGGTGATAGCCATGTAGAAACATACAAGAAGAATTAGAGAAAAGTTGTAAACTTAGAGAGAGAAAGAGAGAGACTAGTGCTGCTGAATTAGAGAGAGATGTTGCCAAAGACAACGAGGAAAGAGAATGGTAAAGAGGAGAGAGAAAATGAGATACTCCATGACATGCAGGCTGGAAGAGAGAGAAAGAAACCAAAATGGGCTAAACATGTACATGTGGATGATAGTGAGAGAACAAAGCTGCCAGACGGATAACATGTGGAAGAGAGAGAAAAAAATTGCTCAGTATTGGAGGAGAGAGAATGAGCAGTCGAAAAGGCAAAAGAACGAAGAGAATCAGGGGAAGAGAGACCACAACATAGTACCAGAACACTGCTGAGCATGTAAAATGAGAGTTAGAGAGAGAAAGTATTGTAAAATGAGAGTTAGAGAGAGAAAGTATTTCGTATAGACAAGAAGGTAGAAAGAGAAAGAGACGGCAATGTTTAGAAGAGAGAGAAAGAGAGATTACACCATTTTCCAACATGAAATATTGTTAAGTTGTGTAGCATGGTGGAGAGAGAGATTGAACCTCAGCTAAAATGGCGAGAGAGAGAGAGAGAGGGCGAGGTAGAGAGAGAAAGTGATAGAACTTACGTGAGAGCCGCCATGTCCATCAAAAACAGCAAAGAAGTGCAACGCCCCAAAGAAGCCTGGTTGTATAGAGACCGCATCCTCCATCTCTCTAGACATCCCGTACACCGAAACGTATCCATGCGCCGGTACCTCCATCGCCGAACCAGAACCCGCAGAACCCTCCGCCGCAAAACCAGAAACCTTATTCCCCAAAACCGCCATCCCTTCCTCAGGCAGTTTTCCGGTGACCTCACCCTTCATCCTCTCACATTTTCCATCATAAACCCTCCCTTTCCTGTCCTTCTTCCCGACTTTCTGGCCATCCTCGGGCTGCTCAGACACGCCAGGAAAAACATGGAACTGCTCTGAAAACCGCTTCATCTCCATTCTCCGGCGCCTAGCCACCCTAGACCTAGCCTCAAAGGCGGGAGACTGGGGCTCGCCTGCTTCCTTTACCATGATATCCGCCATGATTACCGGAAAACCGATTTTTCGCACAAAATCGGTTTCCCGGCGACCGGATCCCCGTCATCGGCTCTAAGAAGCCGCTACCATCCCCAACAGCGGTTCTCTTCCTAATGAACAGTTGCTTCTTTCTACAGGAATGGCGGTTTTTATCGGGAGGCCAGATGCCCGAAATAAGAGAGAAACGTTTCTAACGAGAACAGGCCTTTTAAATCGCATTTTGAGGTGATTGATTGTCCCGACTTTAATTTTTTTTTCTTTTTTTTACGTTTGTAAGCTTAGGGTCTGGTTTGTATAGTGTAAAGCTGACCTTCCAATTTTTGTCCTGGCCTTAAAATATATTTTTATTTTTATTATAAATTTAAAACTTTAAACTAATATAAATCGAGTAGTTTTATTAAAATTTGAAAATTTGTGAGAGTTGATGGTCCAAAATTATCTTATGTAGTATTTTTAAAACCTGAAATCCATGCATCTTGACATGAAGATATTTAGGCATTAAAACAACATTTTCTTGTAAAATTGTTGAGATGGGTTTTAATTTGATAGTTTTAAACCTCAACGATATAAACTTTTTTCGCTTTTTTCTTGACATGGGTGAAATAAACAATAAATCAGGTATTTTTTTATTTCTTGGTATCTCTTTGATGAAGAGCAAAACTTCTTTAGTTTTTAACAATACGGAAAAAGAATTTACTATTTTAGTGATGAAAGAAAAAGAAAAAAGTTTATGAAATAAAAAAATACTTACATAAGTTGTTTAACTTATATTATACATGTCAGCTCTAAAAAACAGTGGTTACAATTGGTCATCTTGAAATCGAGATATACAAATAAAAAAATTCATATTTTATTTATTATAAGATTTCATAAATCAATACGATTTATATTATTTTTAAATATTTAAATTTTATAACTAAAAATAAAAATATATTTTAGAACTATTACAAAAATTTTTAATATTGAAATCGCATTTCTCGACACTCACTGTGCGCTTTACTTTTGATTGTCTAACATATTTACCTGAGAGAAATACAAAATCTGGTGGAAATAGCAACTCCACACCTTACTCGAATGCTAATCTCGTGGAAGAATCCGAAAATGCCACGTCATCGGGCAGCTGCCCGCTTCGCTACGGGCACCGACTGGAGTTGCCAGCAATATTCGACACGTGTCTTTTATGACGTACGCGTCTGCTAGCCGACCGGAAGTCACCTCGCTCAATCGATGTTCGACGCGTGTACTAGACATATGATCGGCCGAAGCTCGCACTTCCATGCCTTCCGACTACGTGGGCCAATCATATCACCCCACGCCACCGGATCTGACACGTATGTGGCCCACCGAGATATAGGCTTTTAAATACTTTCCGCTTTTTTGCTTTTTTTTCTTTATATGGGACACGTGGCTCGTACTGGGTGGGCCATTAAAACTGGTATCATAGCAGTACGTGTACGTCAAGCGGTTGGCACGTAAGTGTTCTAGACCAGCTGTGGCCGGTCATGCGTGGACGCGTGTGCGGCTTTCGGGGTTGATTCTCGGCCTGTGCGGGACCACTGAATTAATTGAGCTTTTTTTTTTAACAAATTGTACGTTCTGTGGGCCCGTTATGGACTTGGAATATTATTCTCGAGGTTAGTACTGACTTCTCTGAGAGGGGGGAATTTTCATTTCAAGCTCAGTGTGAAAAGTTCTTCATAACTTTGTTGCTTGTGCTTTTGAACTTACTAAATTATCCTAGTACTCCTTTAACAACTCCTTGTTTTTCAAGTGGCTCCTCATTCTTTCGTGGTTTTTTTTTTTTTTTTTTTTTTTTGGGACCTTGTTTATATATATCTTGTTTTTGTGTATTCTGGATTTTGTGAGCACTTTTGTTAGCCATGAAAATATTTCTCAAATAAAACGATTATTTCGTATAGTATAGTTACGTGTAGGAATATTTTTATACTAATTGGTCTTAATACATATATTCACGCCAATTGACAATTAATTGGTGTCAAAATATTTTTACACCTAACTACATTCAAAGAGTTTTTTTTTTTTTGGTAAGTATGACATTCATTAAGATAATGAAAAGTTACAAGAGAAAAGAGAAGAAAGATAAAAGAAAAAAAATAAAAGAAAACAAGCATAAATAAAAAGAAAAGAGAAAAAAGGACAACATCTAAGCAAAGGCTAGGAGGGTGAAACAATAGGTGCAGTAGCCAGCTTAAGCTAGGGAGTCCGAATCAAAGTTGGAGCTACAATGAACATGAAGGAAGGAAAATTCACGTCACTTTAAAGATAATAGAAGTTCATCCATGACAACACTAAGTCTCCAAAAAATGAAATTTAGCTTCAAACACCACAAAATAATATTGGCAGAGTCACCTTCAATAATAATCTTCTAGTATATCCATTCGAGTCTGGATACACCCATCTTCAAAACCCAATGCTCAACTTCATTAATCTCGCCAACATGAAGTCTACACAAGGGAAATTTTTCACGTGACATGCCCTTATATAATGCTCTCTATACTTGCTCTTTGAAGCACTAGGTCTCTACGAATGTACCCTGTTGGAAGGTTATTGTGTTATGGGAACTATTTATGTTCCAAAGCACCATGTCCTATGGAATTGATAACCACTAATGATCCTTTTTGAGGTGTTGTGAACACTAGAGAAAGTGATTGAAGTGTGTTTAGATCATGTGCTGATAGAGAGGGATAGTTTTAAGTGATGCTCACTTTTGTGCTTTGCAGATGTGAGGGGTTGCTTGAATTCTTTCTTTCTTTGTTTTCCTTGTTTTCTATTGTTCCAAAAGTGGGAGGTGGTCCCCATGGACTTCTTTCTGCCAAATGTAAATTTTTACTGAAAACTCTACCTGTGTCTGGAAACGTATGATGTGGCTTAATCGTGTTCGTCCATGTACAACGTGCCTTCAAAGCGAAAAAAACCAATAAATTTCTCGATGATTAGGTTGATAATTATATCCAAAACCATAATTACATTTGAAAACTTTAAGAAATCAACAAGTTGTAAATGTCGATTTTCAAGATATAGATGTATATAACTTTGTTACAAAAATCAAAGTTTGATTTTTTTTGGTCCAGCCAAAAATAATTTGAAACATACAAATTTTCAACTCAAAGTAAAGATTTCGATGTAAGGTATCCCTTAGGTAAGAACTTTGCAAAGTAATCATTTCTTCTATTCGCACAGTGCATTTTAGTCTTTTCTTTCATGTCAGTCAAACATCAACCTTCAACTCCCCTCTCTTACTTTTTCTCTTTCCTTGGAGACATACCTAATCCTACCTGACCCATTTATAAAAGTGATTTATATGGCTTTTATTGATGTCGTTTAAATAGGGCCAAGGCTTTATTAAAACAAGTTAAAGCGTCGCCTCACTCTTGGTCTGGAAAGCATTTTGGGTATATGATATCTTCATGGTGGTTTCAAAATCAATTTTTAAGGACTATAAAATGTGAAGCTAAAAAATACAATCTTGCATAAAAATTATATCTTGCATATCAGTGAATGCTTATTTTTGGGGTAAAAAAGATAATTTAGATAATTCTATTGCAATATACATTATTTTTAAAGCTCGAGATCCATTTTTTTTTTTATATAGTATAATGGGCGAAGTAAAGATGATCGATTTGAATGCTTTCCACCACTAAATTTGCTATTTTCATAAAATTTCGTTGTGATGTTTAATGGATGAAGTTTCTATCGGGTATAGGCTCGATGAAAACAAAATAGTGTACCACCTCAAATCTTTGTTTGAAAATCACTTTCAACAACAAAAATTTCCATAATAGCTTTAAAATTAATTTCCAATACCCACAATAAGTTTTGAAAATAAAAATTTGTACAAACCATATGGATACTTGAACACTTATTTTTAGAGTGAAATAGACAGCCTAGATAATTTATTACAATCTATACTATTTTTAGAAGTTTAAATCCTAATTTTTCTTCACAAACATTATGTTCAAGCGGAGATGACCGATGTAAAAGGTTTTCAACACTTAGAATTACAATTTTCAAAGAATTATAAGGTGAGGCTCTATATATTTTAATAGAGCTATAGCCCTATCAAATTATTATTTTTATTTATTTTAATAGGGCTGCAGCCCTCTCTGAAGATTTTCATGTAATTAGGCAGAAAGAGAACTAAGGATCCTCAAACCTTGCACGTTTTCAAGGCCAAGTAATAATAGGGCAACAAGGCCAATGGCACAAACAGTTGGAACAATCTACACCAGCAATTAGATGAGGCAAAAGAGATTTCTCATGTGTTGTCACTGCTGAAAGTTTAATATTAATGCAATAATGTCACCTCTTTACAGATTGAGGCACGTGCCACTGACACAAACGCTCACTTTTTATTTTTTTTTAATTTTTTATTTTTATTGTTTTGGGGTCAAAGTTGACAAAGTCCGACCCAATTTGGTCTCTTGATGAAGTCCAATTTGGTCTCTTGATGAAGTGCACTCGGTGATGTTTGCGTATGGTACACCGCATCCTCATTGTGGGTCTCACCGTGACTGGCACAGCGCACGCTTTGTACAGCACAATGAATATCCACCGTCCATTTTAGATGAGCACATTGAACGCGTGTCAAATGCAACTGCATCCATGTGTCTATAGTTGTTGCACGTGTTGCGATAACCCTGGATGGATATGGATGTCTGAACTTAGACACTTCTTTCAAACAATGCTTGTTAAATTCTAAGCGAAAATTTTAATATTAGCCAAAGTCTTACCTTAACCAAAGTCATTTGCCAAATTTTATTCTTGTTTTTATTTTTATTCTTTATTTTTATTTTTATTAAAAAAATTTTTTATGAAAAAACTAAGGTGATGAACATATTACAAGCAAAAGTAGAAAATAAAAGCACAAAAAAAAAACAAAGACCACACAAAAAAAAAAGCAAAAGAAAAAAAGAGCCACTACGAGGTAGCAAATTTAATTAGCACATCAGCATCTGAAATGAATCCCCGCTTGGCATGAACAAATAACACTTCACGATATGCCAAATCGAGAATGATCTTATCCATAATGGCATTAAGTTTTCAAAGCATAAGATCTAGCCTTAAGCACCACTTGATGACATTCACTGAGTCATCCTCTATGATGACATTGAGTTGCACAGAACTTAGCCCGAAAAACCCATCTTAAGCGCCCCAAGTTCAGCCTCATTTATTTCGCAAACATGCATCACCACAAAGTGGTACCCTAGTGATCTCGAAGTAAGCCCCATAATTGTGACGACCACTTCCGTCGAAATTGAGTTTAAGCGACTTTTCTGTTGGTCTGGCCCAAACGCAATTAAGTCACCTGGGGCTGCATTTGCCATGTTAAAATCCCAATTTTGAGGGTAGTTTTTTATACTGAGGTCAAAAATTAATATTATTATTCATGGAACTAGTTTTGATCATAGTTACCGGGAGCGGGAGGAGCGGGAGCGAGAGTATTAGATCGACGACTGCCTAAA